TGGAATGCTGGAACAGTCTCACACAGGAAGCAGCCAGTGCTGCAACAGTGGAAATGAGGACAAGTTACTGGAAAATAACAGAATTTGAAGGAAAAAAAGGCTGCACAAGCTGCAGTAGCTGTGGAAACAAAGACACCAAAGCCCAGCCCCTGCAGCACAGCTACTGAGGAACCACAAACCTCACCGAGGCCTTTTCAGGACCCAGACAATCCTAAAGTCACAGTGGAACACCTCAGTTTGCCCTTCCCCAGCACCTGTTTGCCTGAGAGAGAACAGCAGCAGCTCCTAAAGCACCCCCAGGCACCCAGACACCTCAAGTGTCTCACGTCACTGCCGCATGAAATTCAACTTATTTTGCTCTAAACTGGCAAAGCGTTCACGACTCCTCATGCCACTGCAGGAGGAGACCCAGCTACAATGAGCACAGCTTACCACTGGTGTATTTTAGCACATTAACAGATTTAAACAAAAGATGGTATTTAATGAGTGACAGCATGAACCTCGTATGTGCACAGTACAGCTGTCAAAGCATCAGGTGAAGCAACACGAACCAGGGCAATTTGTGCTGCAAGAGCTAAACCCAGCACTTAACTCTTAACTTTGGCATCTCAGCCTTAATTACTAGAGTCATCACCAAGAAAGCTATTAAAAACCAATCAGGCACAGGTTAACATTTGGAATTCTATCACACAGAACTACACAAGACTCAAAATGGGGATAAGGAATGGGTGAAACATCCAGAAATTTGTTTCTCAGACCCAGCCATACCACACTGGACAGACTGCTTACTCACTGAATACACTGGAATAAAACAGAAGCCATTTATAAAAATAGTAAAATGTTTTATTTTTAAGATTTGTATCTTCCTGGCTCCTCTTCACTGCAATCAGACTTCTCCTTCTGCAAGTACAAAGCATATTATCAGAAAGACTGAAAACACCAGCAGAAATTACATGTCATGACACGGAATCAGCATCACAACAGGCCACGTGCTTGCCAAACATTATCTAGAACTTTCTCACATCAGATCTGAGATTAAAGGAAGAGAATTCACGTTTCTAAGATCTGAAACAGCTTTGTGTGTTTTCCTATGCCAGGGCCAAGAGCAGCAGTGACAAACCACACAGGATTCTACAGGAGTGCACCCACTGAATCCCACTGGCTTCACCTCTTACAGGTTCAGTTGTGCATCTGAGCTGTTACTTACCTGTGACTTCTGAGGGAAGGTACTCAGCATGTTGCTCCTCACACAGCATTTTAAATATCTAAAGTTCCCCCTTGTAGTTTAGTGGCAAATTAGAGGGAAAATGTCATAAATTCCAGCTCTGCAAGTCGGTTTATTTCCCTGAATTGCTATTTGCTTGTGCTCCTGTACATGCTGATTTATACTCCAGGTTATTTTTAAAGTTCAGTGTTAAAATATTTCAGCCAAGTAGCTTTTTACACAAGGTTTAGTTGGTTTAACGTGTGAGAAGCAGCTGCTCTGTTCTCCTTTTTCCATGCTGACAATCACCCACCCCATTCTCTGTAGCCTGAGTGCAGGAATGGTCATTTCTTGTTTGAGCACCTGCAGCTCTCAAGAGGACAGAGTTTATTTGCTGCTGCAGGGCTGAAAGGCCTCAGACAATGGTGACATTTTGGCACTGCAGAAGCAAGATTCCGAAACTTTATATAAAATTGAGATTAATCACGATTTTCAGGCAGGAACTACATAACCCACCACAGGGTGATGGGATATCAAACTCTCACAACAGTGTAAGGACAACAACTACTTACTCGTCCACCTGTTCCCTTGGTCCCTCCACACGCCACTGGGCACCGTGCTGGATGTGCTCATGCTCGGCTCCTCAACTGCAAAAACATTCCCAAGTTATTATACCCACAGTGATTTTGAAATCTTTTGTACAAACCCACGTCTAGAGAGGTATTTTTAACCGCTGCTGTCAAGATATGAAACCCAGATGGAGTCAGGGTGCTCAAGCCCACGGCACGACAGCAGGCACTAAGTTCTACCCTACACATTTAATTTATTCACTCTTTCCAACTTCTCAGTAGTCCCCAATTCAAAGGTACTCAGTGACTGAACATCAAGTGTCCAGAAACCTTTATTATTTTATCCATGCAGAACAAAAGTGGTACTTACTTCCCATGGATGAGCACTCCGGTGTCACTCAGCTTTCATCTTCACCTAAAGGATAACAACTGAAGTTATTAGAGTCATACACAGCAAATCTGGACCATTTCAAAACTAACTTAAAAATAAGGGTTTAAGATACATGGACTGATTAGTTATGAGGGGTAATTTATCAGTTATTCCAAACCATTAAGTGGAAGAATAAGGGGCAGAAATAGGCTGGCCTTAACACTCATCAAGAGCTGAAGGAATATGCAGGTAGTTGCCTGAAGAACTGCACCTTGTGTGAGCACAAACCATAACCCCCCATCTGAGCACAGTGAGGTTTGATTGCAGCCAGAGGTATATTATCCCTTATGTGAAGGCATTAATTTTGTCAGCTACTTCAACTATTTGACCCTATTTGTGTCCTGCAGCAATGCCCTCTATTCCCCTTCATGAGGGAGTGCAGTGGCCCTGGACTGTAGGAGCCCTTGGGTTCAACAGTCCTACAAGTGCTTCAGAAGCCAAAGGCAGACACTAAGATTGGCACTGTCACTGCTTTTATCCTCAGCAAGGTTCTTCCCTTCTCGAGACCCCCCTTTACTACAGCTGAGGGCAGCCTGCAATGGTGAGAGCTGGGGATGTGGTCCAAGGCTCTGTACAGCTCCAGCTGGGAAGCAGATCACACCTCGGGCACGGCGTGATCTGACCAGGCAGGGACAAGTTCAGGATTAGTGTCCAACCCACCACCTGGGTTTTCTCATGGCCCTCAGGAGCAGGAGAGTTATGCACATATTGTTTTCTCTGCCATAGCAACAAACCCCATGCATAAGGGATACTATATCTTTGTGCATCCTTTAAACACTGCAGATGCCCTACTGGCCACGCTCCTCCCAGCCCTCCCCAGTTAGCTCTTCAGTACTGGTGTTCAGAAGCAACATGTAGAGAGATGGGGTATTCACAGACCACTGCGGGATTGCACAGCCAAGTCCTAACGTGTCAATCATTACCTAGCAGCAATGACACAGCGGGGAGAAGGCCAATCCTCCCGTTTTTTCCTTTGCCAGGCAGCAGCTATTTAACAGCCCCACTAGCTGGTATGGAGAGAGAAAAAAATCTGAAGCTAATTAGCTGATTCCAAAGTTGCTAGTAGTGGAAGAAGCCAAGTGATTCCCCAGAGCACTATACTTGGATGAATCCTTCCCAACATGCTCAGCCTCACTGAACATAATGGAACAGAACACTGGCCTTCCTGATCATGTCACTGCAGCTGGCAATGATTAACAGAGACATGCAACCCCATTACTGCTCGAGTCCTAAACTACTCACAGGCCTCAGTGTTTAGCTATGGGGAGAACTGCAAGCAAATCAACACTTTGTATGCTTAATGTTACAGTAAAGCCCCATCCACGCTGTGCTGTGCTCTCCTGCCAGCACCAGGTCTGCTCGGAGGGCCTAGCAGTACAATGTATTCTGACACCACACTTCTGAGCTTCAGGTAAGCTTTTGAGAAAAAGTGTTTTTCACACACAGATAAAACCAAGATGAAACACAATGCAAGCACTTGAATGGCATTCCTTGTACCCACTTGTTACAGACTGACTTAGAGCAGACATGACTATTTAAAGTTTGCTACCACACCAAGTTTCATTACTGCAGCCAGAGCTGGTCTGAGCCCACGGTTCAGTCACAAATTGCTTGCTCCAAGAGTGTCAAAAACATGCTAAGTTCAAGTACATAGAACGAGGCAGATGTGCCAGTAACCCCTCCATGACATTCCTGAAAGTCAAGTATCCAGAACTGGATAATAGAAAAACTGAAGTCAGATCTGAGCACTGGTTTAAGATCACTAATTCAGTTTTGCTACAGGACAGCACACTGGCTGCCAGCAGGTTTTCTACTGGATCCCAGTTCCAAGTAAGGGTGAGCAATCACGGAGTGGATCCCAGTCACAGGTAAAGGTAAGCCATCACAGAAAGTTAGACTGACTTTGTGACAAGGTGTCACTGTGTGACCAGCTGGTGTTGGCTACACTCACTGGGGTGTAACCAAAGACCTGTTGTCATGATCTCAAGGTGCAGCTGCTACTTCAAGTGTCCAGTGGAACATGGAAAGGTGGCTACAGCAGAGGGCAAGGCTGTCCAGCAGATCCCTGTTCACCAGCAAGAGTCCTGCCTGGAAGGTAACACAGAAGGGTCCAAAAGTGACAATAATACCAGAAACAAGTATGCAAAGCAAAACTTTGCAGAACAAGTGGGAAAACACATTACAACACCTGTGAAATAAACTAAGTATCAGACAAGAGCCAGACTACATGAAGGAACAAGGGACCTTGAAATTCAGGTTCAAGAATAATGCAAAAGAGCTGGAGATCAGCATGTCTGGATGTCTGGCAAGGTAAGCATGTTAATCCTGGAACACTGCAGTCAGTAGTTGTAGTAATGAAGAGTTTAGAATTACATCCCCAAGACTGATGAAAAATGAAATTGAGCATTACACTACTGGGATGACTCTACCAGGCAGAAGTAACAGAATCTCATCGCTGTCAATTAAAGCACAGGAATGTATCAGGCTTGTCAATCAAAGGCTAAAATAAAGACAACTGCAAAGTCCAATATAAGCTTTATGAAACTATTCATGGGATATTAATTCAAGCACTCATTTATGTTCTCAAAAATATTCCAGATCAGTGTCAGAGCTGCCTGTACCAGGAGTTTGAGGTGACTCACACAGCGCACACGAGGCAAGAGCAGCGGTTATTAACACATTCCTACCGAGCCAAGACTCTACACAGGGAGGAGCTGCAGATGGGCCACTTGGTCACTACAGAAAGTTTAAACAAGTTCTTTTCTAGGCACTGAGAGCACCTAGTCGACTAGTCGAGTGAGTCCAAGATCACAGTCCCTCTTCCCCACAGTGCTCAGCTAAGAATATCTTCGTTACATCGGAACTAAGAAAAATCCACCCAAGCCGAGTCGTATGCACAGAGGAATCGGGTCTGGAAATCCTCAGCTAAGAACCACAGTAAGTTGCTCGTTGCCTCTGAACGAGACAAAGCTTCAAAACCCAAAACCACACAGCTTTGATGCAAGCTCAACGTACAGGTATGGAGTGCTGCACTGTAATTCCACAGTCAGAAGTGTGATGTCAGAATACCCACAGTATAAGATTACATAGAAAGTCACCAAGTTATATTATATTGCTTGTTACCTACCTGGACGCAGTCGGCAATGAGAATCTCGGAGCAAGCAGGAATACTACATCCGGGTCCTAATGTCCATTGCCATTTGTGGTACTACGTTCCTCACAGTTATGAACTGCAGAAATGCTGGCTAAGTGCAGTTATGTAGCAGGCCACTAGTTTTTAAAGTGTAAATTGCAGTCTCAAAACTCCAGCAAGAACTTGCTGCCACAGTAAATGGTTGCCAAGGAGAAGCCAAGAATTTGTCTACCACAAAAATACCACAAAATCTCAAAAGCAGTTTCAGTTTCTCATCAGCTGTATAAATGATTCGTGTAATGTGTCTACACCAGAAAGTTAAGATTATTCTGTATTCATTTCTGAGAAAGTGCAAAGACATATGTATAACGATACCAGTTTCTACTTGCTGCAGTTTTTAGAGCTCTAAATGTCAAAATGGGCTCAATTTTGATAAAACAAACTAAATTGCAACAGCCAATGTCCTCCAAGTCCAGTACAAAAATGTGTTATGCGATCCAGACCATCCAAAAACAGGTCTGTCCAGCAAACCACTTTTCTGAATGGTTTTAAAGATTCCATTATATAAATCTGAGTTTATGAAAAAAGTCCAAAACCTCATAGGAACAGATCAAAGGAACATCACTTTCTCGCCTCCCACATTTAGTAACTTTACCAGATTTGAAAGTTGACATGTTTGCCAGCTTTTAAGACACCACTTTTAAAAGGTCTTTAAATGAAGTTGGCTAATTCATCATATGCCTGTTTAGTACATGCAACTCAAAGCAGAACTTGTTTTAGAAATTCTGCTTATGCAGCTACAACAAAGCCAGATTTAACCAAACTTTCAGATGTTTTGAAAACCGCCAAATCTTTCAAAATATTTACTAATCATGGTTTTGCAACTCAGCTATTTTAATACCTAACAACGGTAGCTTACGTACAAAACAGGGGTACCCAAAGACAAGCTCTGTAAGGTACAAGGACAGCAGCATCCTTCACTCTTCCAAGTTACAGAACTACAAAAGAACATACTTTAGGATATGCACCAGCATCTCTTTTAATAAAGAATGACATGTAATCTGAAAAATAAACTGAAAAAATTAATTTAATGTTCACGTTCAGAATTCCCCACCTCGGACACCTTCAGCTTCTGTGGGTGTCCCACGAACACCCTCCAGCAAACACATTGTTTCAAACTGCTTCAATAGCTCAAATTGCATCCAAACTGCTCCTCTGTGAACTATCCAATACAAGGACTCCCAAGTAATTGGTCTGCAGTTTAGGAACTGGCAATTTGGAATTTCCTGAAGAGCAATTCATTGTTGTAGCATGTTATCAACCCCCAAACTTTTCTGGGTGACTAAGAAGTGTTCACCAAACAAGCTCAGTCAGTCTTTAGTGAGCTTCATGTTCCCAGTCAGCGTTACCTGTATCAGTATTTCCCAACTTGCTACTTGTCATTTAAGGGGTAACAGTACTTCAAGAGGGATCAGCCATCTTCACTCTAAAATACTGCAATCTGACACTAAAGTTTTAACCACAGAGAAAATTTAGCGTAGAATTTAGAATTAGCCAATGCTTAGCACAAGGAATGGAAAGATATTGGCAAGATTAAAGCTACTCACAGAACACTGGTGGCTGGGGATCGTGTGAAGGTACAGCCAAGCTAAGTTTACAGACTCTGTGCCAAGCAGGTTGATGTGTCCTGCATTAACACTCAGGTATTTGACACTGGGAAGTCACGTTCCCAGCTCACCTGGTACAGTGTAATAATAAGCAAAGCAACTACCTTACCAATGAGTCCAGAATGCTCTGAAATTCTTCTGGGGCTTAATACAATGAACAGCGAGCTAACGAATTCATCAGATCTTCTACAAAGAGAACCTTAAAGGGAGTTTATTTGCACTGTGTAGTATTAACTCTTGAACTCCAGATTCAGATACTACTTTTGAAGCATTATCTCCAAACATCAATAATAAAAGAGCGATAACCATCATGCAAGCAAGCTGATTGCTGTGTTTTACATACAGGATTTTAGGATTTGCCCACCAGCTACACGATTTAGGAATAGTTCCTGCAGTCCCCATAATACAAATGATTGTACTCTGAACTAGGTAAATTAGTCCACTGTTAGCATGAGGACATAAGCAAGTTAACCTTAATCACTCGAGTAACACTTCTGGTCTTTTTGCCAAGCAATTTCAGGCAGGTTTACAACACTGAGCAAAGGCCAGATCCTGTGATCTCAAGACAGCTTAAGAGCATATAAATATCACATTAACAATCCTTTAGTTAGGAAGTCAGCCAATGCAAGGCATTCTATGAATTTATTTTAAAATAACCATTGCTAGTCTTCTGCTTTAAGTTTTTAAAAGATTCCAAGCAGTGACTACCAGGGTGGCAAGTGCTACCATCCCACCACCCGTCAGCCGTAGCTAAAATATGGAATTTGTTACTATGCTGCTTGCAGTGGAGCTTTAAATATTGTATCTTACAGCACTTGCAAGGTTTCCATTTGCTTCCTTATTTGCAGCACAATGACTGCTCAAAAAAATCTGCATCTACTGCAAAGTTCGGCTACAATTTAACCCAATCTTTAGCTAGAGAGGCATTGTGGGAAGAGATCTCACTCTTCGCTGCAGTTCCACACCCTGGTCTAGTCCAACCTCGACTCAAGGCTCTCGGGTTACTGCAGCACGTGTGGGATTCAGCCTCAATTGTTTAACCACGACTGGCAAGAAGAGTTACTACATTTAGTTTTCTATTTATTTGAAGCACAGTAAAAAAAAGGTTGGTACACTTTGGGAATTCAGTGGCACAAGGTACACTGCCATCAAGTTAGGGACGTTATACATCAAAAAAACAGCTAAATTTGATTTTGAAACACTGCATTACATAATTAAATTGTACTCGCCCAAACAGACCACTTACAAATATTAGGTCAGTAAGTTTCTAACATCCATAAAAACGTAGCTTTCTTACTAAAATGCAAGAATTAAGAAGTTGGTGTCTAAACAAGACAGACAAAAAACAAACTGGAATGAAACTACAGGTCACATCTAAAATCGGGGCTTTTTGTTTGGGGCTTCATATTCTTCTCTCCCTCTACCATATCCTGCTGGTGTTCCAGGCCCCATTCCTCTGGGACCCTGGCCACCCACGGGCCCCGCACCTCCCTGCCCAAAGCGTTCAGGACGCTATTGGAACAGAATTAACAGTTCATTATAGGTAGTTGATGTCCATGTGTGTTAAGTATATATTTTTAGAAGGTTCCGTAGTCAAGGTTCGTCGATACAATCACCATTGAGTCGATCCACAGGTACCGGGAACATAGAAAGGAAAAAAGGGTAATTTAAAAATTAGTTTATTGTAATACATGCCTTGAGGTATGTTCCCACTTGATGCATTCTCATACATCTGTTACAAAGAACAGATCCTCCCTGCAGTGCTAGAAATGTAAGCATTAGTGCAGATGTGAATTAACAACTTTTCCAAATGAGCTCTAGCAAAATTTTTCAACCAAGTTAATGCAAATAGCTTGCAAACTTCTCACCTTTAGTGCAGTAAAAGCTCAGATTACATCACTGTTTCCAAATAAGCCTAATCAGAGAAGGCAGCTCCGGTTGGCTGAAGCAGGAGCTGACATTCATCAAATGTAACAGAATGCCTACTCACCAGGACTGGCATGTGCTGTCTAGAGACCATGAGCTTTTCAAGATGGGGTTAAGACTACGGTCTGCTGACTAAACTGCAGAGGCCTTAGGCAGTACCAGAACTCATTGTGAGCACTACTGCATTGCAAGAAGGGAAAAAAAAAAAAAGTGAAAAAAGCTACTGACCAGTGCTTTTCCTAAACCACCACAACTGCTCGAGCAGAGACTGGCACTTGTTCAAACCCCACATACTCCAGAGCTGCTGCTGCATCAGATGCAAAAAGTGTTCCAAGCGCTCAGTGTGTCCAGTTAGAGCTATGCACAGAGGGGTGTGCATCCAGGCAGTACCTCCCTTCCCACCCCACCTTCACCACAAGCTCTTGGGAAAGTCACAACTTCACAGCACTGAAAGGTTTCACACCAAGGTGTAACAGCTGAGTTACTCTGCAATAAAGCAGACACTTCAGGTATATTTTTACTAGTACCTCTAGTTGCATGTACTTTGTTCAGTTACTGTATTAGTAGGTGGGATCAGCATTCAACCTACAGAACTTACACATTATGAGGTCAAAGAGAGCTTTAAACTTTCATTTCAACCAGGTTTCCCACTACTGAGTCACAGAACAATGGTAGGTGGTTTGTTACAAAAAGTATCTGCAACTGACAATCCACACTTCGAATTCCTGACTTCTGAAAGTCAGTGTCAATCCTTCCGAGAAAGGAATTTCAAACATTATTTAGGTTATTTCTGCCTAATTCATGGCAGCTTCAAGCTCATCTCCAATTCTGTTTAAAGGTATTAGCACAGGAACTGTGACAGCACTGTGTGGCAGAGATCCCCAGCCTAAGAAACTCCAGGCAGTTAATCCACCTCACTGTCACCCCTTTTGACCAGATCACGTTTCAGGTATTACACAAGTTCAACATGCACCTGTACCATGGTTTTGAGGAGAAAAATGTACACAGCATCCACCACACACTGCCTGACTGCTCACAGGAAGCTTAGGAACTGCTTAAATATCAGTAGATTATCGAGATACCTTAAGGCCAACGGCACTGTCTACTGAATCAATGATGCTCTGAGAAGTTACAATTCCAAAGATATGGTTCCCCAAAAAAGTAAAATGGAAGCTACTGTGGTAGCTCAGCATGTTAAGCCCAAGGCCTAAACCCACCCAAAAATCATTTAGTTCAGCTTGTGCTGCAGGTGTCACCCCTTCAGGAGGGTGAGAGCACGCTGGTATTGCCACCTAAGCCAACAGATTCCCATCCTGCCCATTAAGCATTTCTTTAATCTACATCCATGGTGCTTCAGGGTGGGAACACCAAGCAGCCTCCAAGCCCAGGCACACATGTAGTGTGCTAAAAATAGTACGGTTTGGAAACATACCTCAGAACAGGGGATATGATGTAGCTTTAACAGGCTCTATCTTTGTGTCATACCCAACATGGGAGAACACAGCGGGCTATCATTCCTTTGGGACACAGGAACCACAAATGGCTACAGTCCAGGATGGCTGGAACATGCCTGAAGCTAAAACCCAGCATTTCTGCTCTTCTACAGCAACATCAGCACAGACTAAGGGATATGCTGTTTACCACTGATCACTTAAGTCAATCTGCTGCTGAAAGAGACCTGAGAGCAGATTCTGGACTCAACAGCATACCCAGACCAACATGCATCCAGCCTACCTAGGCTTGGAAGGGCCAAAGAAACAGTGTTACACGTTGGGAAGGAGAACAAAAATCTCTCTTGTCCATCAATACAGAACATCAAATTACTGAAAAGCTACTGCATTATGTACTTTAACAAAATTTGTCAGATTCTCTAGAGTTTACAAAAAAATCCTTCCAAGCCTAACAGTGACGCAGAATTTCCAAAGTCCAATGAAGTCTGAGTTAATTGCAAATATGCTTAACAGCACATTTGAATTCACTTCCAATCAACTTCCAAGTGTGTAAGCTACCATAAAGGTTAACAACTACTCTAGTGCTACACACTGCCACAGTCTGTGTTAAACATCTGACCAGAGTCAGCAGTTAACAGTGACATTTCCACATCCATCCGAACACTGGAGAGAACTCATTCCCAACCACAATTCCCTTGTGCTAAGCTAAAGCCACCAGAGGATACGTTACCATGTCACTTCCCATCATAGAACCACTCATGGCTGCTTGGCCAACTCCTGGATTAGCTTCATAACCTATGCCGCCACCACCTCCCAGAGGTGGGAATTTCTGGGCTGCTGAAGCATAAGGATCTAAGAAAGAGAAATATATAATCATATTCTGACAATTTCTAGGTTAACCACATGAACTAATTACTGAAGAGATTCTTTACCTCCCATGTTCATTGTGGCAGCACCACCCATTCTCATGTCTCGCTCCCTCTGCGTAGAAGAAACAACTTTTAGCACGGCTAATAAAGCACCAAAATCCAGACTTTTCAGGAGATAAAGCACATGTACAGCCAACTACTGCCACTGCCCCTACACAAACACGGTGCAGTAGCAAACCCAAAGGAAGCAAAACACAGCAACCTTGAAAATACATCAGCAGAATTCCTCAGCATGGTAAGACACCCAAAACCCGCCACGATTTCACTTACTGGATCCATGTAACCCATTCTACTATAATTCTCTTCCCTCTGCCTTCTCATCTGCTCTTCCATCTCCCGCTGACGGATCATCATCTCCTCTTCCCGCCGGCGACGCTCCTCCTCCTGCCTGCTCACCCCAAAGCACACTGTTAAACCCCAGCAGTGGAACGACACCCCTAACATTTCCCAGCATTATTTGTATCAGCAATTTCAAAGGCACTGAACGATTACACTGAAGCACAAAACCAAACTCTGTAATGCCCAAATATCTGAGGAGACACTTACACTGCAGTTCAATTCACACTGAAGCAGCGAGGGCGCTCTTGGAAAACAGAAACTGTCATACGTAAGTAATGGAAAAAAAACCCCAAACCAACCCATAAATGTAACTGAAATCCCATGAAAGCCGAACCAACCTCAGCTGAATTTCCTTGCGCTTCTGCATTTCCTGATTGTGGAGTTCCTCCATCCGCCTCAGCTCCTCCTGGCGCCTCATGAGGTCTGCGGGAATGAAGCCTGTGAGCAGCTTTTTCACAACATCACGCCAGACTCTAATCAGATTTGAATCAGATCCACCTCAGCTGCACTGTGGCAGACAGGTACCTTCCAATGTCACTCTTCTTAACAATACCCCACTGAAATAAAAAAACCTACCAGTTGCTCTTTTTTTTAACTCTGAAATTCTCAAGTTCACAGTAGGAAGCATAAATTTACTCACTAACCCATTAAACAGACATGCATCTAAACCCAGCATTTAAAGCAAAAATACAGAATTCAGAACCAATTACCTTGACGCAGGAGGTTTGCCTGGTGCTCGTGATAAGCATCTTCCATCTCACTTTCAAGTTTGTCCTTGGCATCTTTCATGTTTTTTGCCACTTGCTCTCTCTGCTGTTTTTCCATTTCATCTAAAGATTTCCATCTCTGGGAATATTCAAATTCAAAACTGCCAGGCTGAGCAAAACGGGGAGGAGTCTCTCTTTCCCTGCAGAAAGGAAAATGCTCGGAGTGGGCAAACCTGGAAACTCAAGGTCAGTACAAGATCACGAGCAGAATAACTGAATTATCAGGGAACATCAAGGGAGCCCTGAAAATACCTGACAACTGTGGGACAGAGAACTGGCTGTGATGGGAGTGCAGCACTTTACATGCTTAAACAGCAGCATTTCCCACGAATTATTATCACAGCAGATACAGAGAATCCTGCACTATCACATCCAGGCAAATCTTTAGAGTGCTACCACTTGTTTATCTCTTTCTTAACTGTCTTTACACTCTCCACTGCTGGCAATTCCAGGTGCAAAATCCTCAAACAAGACAGGCCTTTGCCCCAACAGGCACAGCCACTCAGAGCAGCAGCACACAGAGAAGTGGATTTTTCCAGTGCCAAAGCACTGTGTGTCAAAGGCAAATAACAGCCTTCACTTTCACTTAAATAGTTCTCAAAATCCCTGAGGGCCAACAGTTTATTCTGTCATATAAAGAAACTGGAGTCTAACATTCAGTAATTAATGACACAAAATCATGAAAGTTCAAAGCTTCCCATACATTAACAATATATAAGTACTTCAACATTTTAGGAACGTTGCATTAATCCACATTCTTTTCAAAGCTGCCTCTAAACCACTTAGTTTTTGATCAAAGCAAGAATTTTCACAACTTTCTCTGCCAAACAAGACTGACTGGATCTCCCTCCCTGCTCTCCCTTCTGTGATCTGGGAAAATACAACAATTCTACAACAAACAGGTTTAATATACAGATTCTAACCTAAAACTGCTACTTTGGAAAAGACTCCTCTAGACTCTTTAACATTCCTTTATGCCAATGGTCAGCACATAAGGCAAATCCACAGGCAGCAAGTTTCTATTAATCATGGAATGAGTTAAAATTTTACTTCATTTCTCATTTCAAAGCATGAAAACCAATTTCCAAGTTCCCCATGGGATCATCAACACAAGACATGCCTTGAGGGAGATGACAGTTCTCAACAATAGGATAAAACAGTTCAAGTCTGGTTTTCAAGAGTTTCTCCACACACCAAAACCATCTGTTACTGGGCTTCTATTTCTTCATGACACAATGTAGAAAACTGCTTGTGTAACGAGCATACTAAACGAATCAGTATGTTACTTTATACAAAAATACGAACAAAAAAAAAAGAGAACTGGCAATACATCTCAAAATTCAAAGCCTGTTTCTCAAAAATTACTCCATCCCCCTCAGAGCCTGGGACAATATCACATAAAACATCACCTATATCCTGTTTATAACAAAAGACAGTGCCTACTTTTGATACATCGGATTCTTCTGAGCAAGCTTTTCTGGAAGACCATCTTCATCATCCAATTGTTCCAATGGTTCCACAATAACTGGCCTGGGAGTGCTGAACAGAAAACACTCATTTTACTTCTCTGTAAGAACTTCCACTCTGAAAAACTAGAAGCCTACAATCTCTACTCAACTTAAAACGATAATCCTGGGGAAGTACTTACGTTGTCAACAAAAACACCCCCTCAGTACACCGTTCAAAGGCTTTCCTGGCAGCTGGCTTTGATGCGAACTCAACAATGCCTTTTCCTGTTGATCTACCTCGATCATCTACAATCACAACAGCTCTTTCCACCGGACCGAACTGGGAAAAAGCTTCCTCCAGCAACTCGTTGGACACGTAGGGCGAGAGGTTCCGCACCGACAGGGCAGCGGCGTGTGTGGCAAAGCGAACGCGGAGCTGCCGGCCCCGCATCGGGGTATCGTCCAACTCCGCCTTCGCGATCTCTGCAAGAGCCCGAGATTCCTGGGGGAAGTTTAAAACCCGCGTTTAGAGGACTAGGTTCTACATCACTAATTCGCGAGAATTAAACGGACGGACACACAGCATGAGCGCCTACCAATTTAATGAATCCAAAGCCTTTTCCCTTGTTGATAAAAACCTCTCCTGGCTCCCCATATTTAGCGAATAGTCTTTTAAAGTCTTCGTCTGTGATATCAGCGGGCAAATTCCCAACAAACAACCTGCAGCGCTGTGTGTAAGTCTTCTCCCCAGGCCGCCTCAGGAGGGAGAGGTTAGCTTTAAACCCCTACAAAGAAGCAGAGCGTTCGAGCCATCACTACGCGCTGCACCATCTAGCTGCGGGGAGCGCCGGGGACCCCGGAGAACCGCGAGGGGACACGAACCACAGCCCTGGGACCGCCCCGGAGAACC